GAAGCCATTTAAGCTCAAAATCACTTTAAAGTTTGCATATTTGGATGAAGGAAGGTTAAATAAAGTAGTTATTCAAAACTAGTATTCAGCTTTCATTTCTAGCATGCATAGCACACTTCATGGTTTAGAGATATAGAGAATTTTAGAGTTTTTTTAATTTTATTTGTTTATAAAATGAGAAATTTCTATTATATTAAATATCTGTATAGAGAGTAGATGGCAACTGCTTCCGGATCCTCGGCCTCTCATCGGGTTCCAAAGCAACTGAGGCCGGACCTCCCTCTCATTGCATGCGGCAAGTGCGAGGAGAAGATTGTGATGGAGTACCGGGTGAGGAAGGAGTGCCCCAACAAGGGCCGTATCTTCTACAAGTGTCCGGATCGCAATGTGTGTTATTTTGTCGCATTTGATGATTATGGTTAATTTATACTTATTTTCATGATGATTGTGATTAAAGTTCTAATTTATTGTTTTAATTTCAGTGGGATGGGACTGGATGTTCAGGTTGGTACTGGGAGGAAGAGTATGTTGAACACGTGCAAAACTCTCTTACACAGGCGGCTACGGCGGCTGATGAGGCAGTGATCCTGCGGAAGAAGCGCATAGATGTTGAACAAATGCATGATCTGTCTGTTTAGTTAGGATTGGTCGTGAAATCCTTATGATGCTGAAGTGCATTTTAGATTTAGTTTTTTTACTGGTAGTTGGGATTGTCTACATTGTAGCGAGACTTTCATAAATTAGTACCTTATGTGGTGGCATGCATGTTGTATAATTAACTAATTATGTTCTAGGTTTTAATATGGTATGTATGTCATGTAATGCAGATGAGCCGGCATTGGATGTACAATGCTGATCACCGCTCCCAAGAGTTCATTGAGGGCGTGCATTCTTTCTTACATGTGGCCGAGGCAAACAAACACGATGGTTTCTTGTGCTTCCCATGTGCCATATGTAATAATTTGATGGAATATGCTAGCTCAAGGAGTCTTCATTCACACTTGTTAAAGTCGAGTTTCATGGCAAACTATATTTGTTAGATGAAGCATGGAGAAATCGGGGTTGTAATGGAAGAAGGTGAAGAAGAACAATGGGACGATGATGACATTATTGTTGAATATGGTGCCTTCAATGATACTGCAATGGGGGAAGCTGAAGAAGAGGTAGGGGCAGAGGATGAGCCCGCTGATGACCTTGGTCAGGCCATTCGTGACGCACAAAGAGAATGCAAAAGTGAAAAGGAGAAGATCGAGTTCTAGCGCATGCTAGAGGATAACAAGAAATTGCTATACCTAACTTGTGATGCAGGGCAGAAAAAGTTGGGTACCACCCTGGAATTGCTGCAATGGAAGGCAAAGAATGGTGTATCTGACAAGGGATTTGGGGAGTTACTGAAAATCCAAAAGAAGATGCTTCTGAAGGATAATGAATTGCCCGCCACTACGTACGGAGCAAAATAGGTAGTCTACCCTTTGGGATTAGAAATCCAGAAGATACATGCATGTCCTAATGACTGCATCCTCTACCATGATGAGGAGTACGAGAAGTTAGATGCACGCCCGGTATGTCATGCATCGTGGTATAAGATCAGGCGAGATGACCCTAGTGATGTTGAGGGCGAACATCCCACGAAGGAAATCCCTACCAAGATTATGTAGTATGCTCCTATAATACCACACTTGAAACGTCTGTTCAGAAACAAAGACCATGCAAAGTTGTTGCGATGGCACAAAGAAGACCGTAAGGTAGACAATATGTTGAGACACCCTGCTGATGGGTCCCACTAGAGAGCAATCGATAGAGAATTCCCGGAGTTTGCAAATGACGCAAGAAACTTAAGGTTTCCATTAAGTACGGATGGCATGAATTCTTTCGGGGAGCAGAGCAGTAGTCATAGCACTTGGCCTGTTACTCTATGTATCTACAACCTTCCTCCCTTGTTATGCATGAAGCGTAAGATTATTATGATGTCAGTGCTCATCCAAGGCCCAAGGCAACCTGGCAACGACATCGATGTGTACCTGTGGCCACTAGTTGAAAAACTTCTACTTTTGTGGAACAGACCAGGTGTATGTGTGTGGGATGAGCACAAACAGGAGCACTTTGACCTGCGAGCATTGTTGTTCATAACAATCAATGATTGTCCTTCTCTAAGTAATCTATCAGAACAATCAAACAAGGGATATAATGCATGCACGCACTATTTTGATGACATTAAAGGTATATTCTTGAAAAAATGTCGAAAGGTCGTGTACCTTGGCCATCGTCGATTTCTTCCTACGAATCACCCCCTAAGAAAGAAAGGCAAGCATTTTAAAGGTAAGGCAGACCATCAGACCAAGCTGGGCAAATGAACTGGTGAGGATGTACTTAATATGGTCAAGGATGTGTAAGTAGTTTTTGGAAAGGCACATGGCAGTGAACCTGTTCCGAACGACGCCGACGGTCACGCACCCATATGGAAGAAGTCCATATTTTAGGAGCTACCCTATTGGCAAGTCCTAGAGGTCCGTTGCGCGATCGACATGATGCACCTGACGAAGAATCTTTGTGTCAACCTGCTAGGCTTCATGGGTGTGTCTGGGAAGCCTAAGGACACACTTGAAGCACGACAGGACCTGCGGTGTTTGAAAGAACGAGACAACCTACATCTAGAGAAGGCAGATGATGCACGCCATTACTTAAGTCCTGCCAGCTACACTCTTAACAAAGAAGAGAAGGAAAGCATGTTTGAATGCCTAGCAAGCATCAAGGTACCATCTGGATTCTCCTCGAATATAAAGGGTATAATAAATGTGCCAGAGAAGAAATTCCTAAACTTAAAGTCCCATGATTTCCACGTGCTCATGATACAATTGCTTCCAGTTGCATTAAGAGGAATTCTACCTCCAAATGTATGTCTAGCCACCGTAAAGCTATGTGCATTCCTCAATGCAATTTCTCAGAAGGCAATTGATCCAATGGATCTAGCTAAACTATAGAATGTGTGGTTCAATGTCTTGTCATCTTTGAGTTGGTGTTCCCTCCTTCTTTCTTTAATATCATGACACACGTCCTAGTTCACCTGGTCAAGGAGATTAGTATTCTCGGTCCTGTGTTCCTGCACAACATGTTCCCCTTTGAGAGGTTCATGGGAGTCCTAAAGAAATATGTTCACAACCATGCTCGGCTAGAAGGAAGCATCGCCAAGGGCTATGATACAGAGGAGGTCATTGAGTTTTGTGTTGACTTTATTCCCGACCTTGACCCGATTGGTGTTCCTGAATCGCGACATGTGGGGAGACTAAATGGAAAGGGGACACTAGGGAAGAAACCATATATTGGTACGTAGGACAATTATTTTAATAAAGCACATTACACAGTTCTGCAAAACTCCTCCTTGGTGGATCCGTATATCGAGACACATAAAGAGTTGCTCCGATCCGAGTTTCTAGGGAAGTCTGAAGCTTGGATTACGTGTCAGCACATGGAAATTTTCAGCGACTGGCTGCGAAAAGAATGTTAGGGTGATGAGAGTATTGATGAGCAACTGTATTTGTTGGCTAGGCAGCCATTGTGGCATATCCTCACATACAAAGGGTATGAGATAAATGAAAATACATTTTACACAATAGCCCAAGATAAAAGGAGCACCAACCAAAACAGTGGTGTCTGCATAGATGCCACCGACCCTAACAGAAATAAGCAAACATATTATGGCCGCATAGAGGAGATATGGGAACTAAACTATGCACCTACTTTTAAGGTACCTTTGTTCAAGTGTCAATGGGTAAAGACGACTGGAGGCGGGGTAGCAATCGACAACTAGTATGGAATGACAACCGTTGACCTCAACAATATTGGGTACAAAGACGAACCGTCCATCCTTGCCAAGGATGTGAATCAGGTGTTCTATGTCAAGGACATGTCTACAAAACTGAAGAAACGGAAAAACAACATCAACCCAATCAATGAGCCAAAGCGCCATATAGTTCTTTCGGAGAAAAGAAACATCGTCGGAATTGAAGACAAGTCAGACATATTAGAAGATTATGAAAAGGATAACCGAATTCCATCCTTTACAGTGAACAAAGACCCAAGCATCTAGCTAAATGATGAGGACACTCTATGGTTATGGCGCGATCATAACCAAGGGATATACATTAAGAAGAAGTTTACTACTGTGCCCGCTTGATATATATAGTGATGTTTAATAGTGTGTATTAGAGGTATTATGTAATAATTTTGAATTTAGAGATGTTTATTAGGTGTTTCATTTTTTTTCTATGTTCAGATTAAATTTGTGTTTGATGGTGGGATTTCCATGTCGCTTTTGGACAATGAGTGATGAAAAAATGAAAAGATTTACGTTAAAATGATGTGAAAACAAATTTCCAATCAAAAACAAAAATTTTAATGATTTAAATTAAACACTACATTTTTGCATTAACGAAATAGCAATTATTAATGACATTATGTTTCAATATTTATAAGAAAAAACAAAAAACTTTAGGTCACACAAATTTCCTGTGTGCAATAAAGCAAAAGTAAATTCATATTCTTTTAAAACAATTTATGCCTTGTATTTAATTTACTGTGCAATTAACAAGACTTTAACATTTTATAGAAAGAAATATATAAAAAACCAAATAAACGAATCATCAATTGAAAATAAAAATAAAAAAAAGAAAAAAAAGAAAACCTTTAGTCACGATTGGTAATACCAACCGGGACTAAAGGACCGGCCCACGTGGCCAGGCCGGAAGACCTCTTTAGCCCCGGTTAGTATTATCAACTGGGATTAAAGGTGGACCTTTAGTCCCAGACGAGAAACCAGGACTAAAGGAGGGGTCCTAGTCCCGGATTCGTGCTGCCGATTAGAAAACCGGAACTGAAGGGTTTCCCAACTGGGAGTACAGCTCGTTTCTTTACTTGTGCGCGTCGTGGACCTCTTGTATTTGTATATATTACTCGTGCCTAGACCTCATTACAGCACGTAAGAAATCCTTCAAACTCAAGAAATGGCGGCAAGTCCATCCATGCTCGTTGCTGCGATCACCTTCCTCCTCGCCGCACCTCCGGCCTTCGCGGAACAAAGAGGCTTCCGTGCCACCATGACCCGCACCGAGCCGGCCATCAACTTAACAAGGGCCGCGCACAAGTCCCACGAGCGGCTGTCCATGCTCGCCGCCCGGCTTGACGCTGCCTCAGGGACTGCGCAGACCCCGCTTCAGCTTGACAGCGGCGGCGGCGCGTACGACATGACCTTCTCCATCGGCACTCCACCGCAGCAGTTGTCGGCCCTCGCGGACACCGGCAGCGACCTCATCTGGGCCAAGTGCGGCGCGTGCATGCGGTGCGTGCCACAAGGCTCCCCTTCCTACTACCCAAACAAGTCGTCGTCTTTTTCCAAGCTGCCCTGCTCCAGCAGCCTCTGCAGCGACCTGCCGTCGTCCCAGTGCTGCGCCGGAGGCGCCGAGTGCGACTACAAGTACTCCTACGGCCTTGCCAGTGATCCACACCACTACACACAAGGCTACCTGGGGAGCGAGACCTTCACTCTCGGCAGCGACGCCGTGCCAGGCATCGGCTTCGGCTGCACCACAATGTCGGAGGGCGGGTACGGCTCGGGCTCCGGCCTCGTCGGTCTCGGCAGCGGGCCGCTGTCCCTCGTCTCGCAGCTCAAGGTCGGCGCCTTCTCCTACTGCCTCACCAGCGACGCCGCCAAGACGAGCCCGCTCCTGTTCGGCTCCGGCGCCCTGACGGGCGCCGGTGTCCAGTCGACGCCACTCCTGCAGACATCCACCTACTACAGCGTGAACCTGGAGAGTATCTCGATCGGCGCCGCGACGACGCCCGGAACCGGAAGGAGCGGCATCATCTTCGACTCCGGCACCACGGTGGCGTTCCTCGCCGAGCCGGCGTACACGCTGGCCAAGGCAGCGCTCCTGTCGCAGACGACGAACCTCACGAGGGTCCCGGGCACGGATGGGTACGATGTCTGCTTCCAGACGTCCGGCGCCGTCTTCCCGTCCATGGTGTTGCACTTCGACGGCGGCGACATGGACCTGCCGACGGAGAACTACTTCGGGCAGGTGGACGACACCGTCAGCTGCTGGATCGTGCAGAAGTCGCCGAGCCTGTCCATTGTCGGAAACATCATGCAAATCAACTTCCACATCCGGTACGATGTGGAGAAGTCCATGCTGTCCTTCCAGCCAGCCAACTGCGACAGTTTCTGAAGAATTTAGGAACACAACTCGATCGCCTATCTTCTGGTCATTTCATATACTCACATATTAGCTAGCGCATGTTGCATCACTGGATACACGCAGGGACGTACACGCATAGTTAAAGAGTACTCCTAGAATAAATCAGCTGCTTATAGTACAGATTGAAAAAACACGGATTGGTGATATCAGTATGAGTGTATGACGTCGACACAAAGATTATATTCTGTATGTATGGATCTTATTTTATATATTTTCTTGAGAATAACATCATCATGGTGTAATGGTTTCAGAGAGTTGTTTGAAGCGTGAAAACACAGAAAAAAAAAATACCTCTCATCCCCTGCCCTGGACAGATATATTTGGGCCCTGTTTAGGGCTGACCAGTGTTTCAGGCTTTTGGATTTATGGTGACACGGCAGCCATCACATTTCGGCCCAATTGAGTTGCGGGATCAAGGGTAAATTGAGCTTAAATGTTTAACTATTCCAAAATCGAATGAAGATAAAATTTATATCAAAGTTGTAGTACACGAAGATATCTAAACCTTTGTAGTCGATTACGTTTTGATTTAACATCATTGAGGACCAAAGAATTTTGTTTTAACTTTTCATAACTAGAAATTGAACTTTTTAGAAAATTTCAAATAAACTCAGATGATGAAATGGCCGGAACCAAAGTTTTAGTGCTCAAAGATATCTACAACTTTGTAACTAATTAGTTTTAAGTTTTTAGATTTTAAAATTCATTTTTTTTAAATTTTTAAATGACCACAGATTGTTAAACAACCTAGAACATCAAGTTTTTTTTTTGGATAGCGGGAGTAAAAATTTGTTTGAAATTATAAGTTACTTTCTCTGATCCAGTTTATAAGGCATTTCATGTACATTAAGGCTCAACTATTTAGTATTTGACCAAGAATTTAGCCAACAATTTTAAAGTATAGTAATGCAAACTTGATACTATTAGATTTGTAATCTAATGCACTATCATATAATCATATGTTTATAATCATAAACTTTACATTACAACATGAAACAAATGAATGGCCAATAATAATTTAAGGACCTTGCTATATCAGACTATGCCTTATAAACTGGACAAGAGGAAGTATATATTCTAGATTGCTCAAATCCATCCATACATCCCTGTCTTTTAAACCGCATCCATGCATGTGTTTTAAACACTATCTTGTGCAAATGACTCCTATAATTGGTAGCCAAAATCAATGACGTGCATGCATGCTTTTTAAGACTATATATTACTAGTAACTTAAGCAAGTTGACAACCAAACTAACTAATTAGTAACGGATAAGTGTCCTTTGCTAGACTTGTTATTTGGTCCTAAAATTACTTGGTTACTTATATATATGATAGGGCAATATAAGAAATGGATGATGTTGCTAACAAATCACTTTCATTTTATCCCGCACAGCCGTACAACATTTAATCATTCATAATTTCATATACGTTGTGGAAGAGTGTACTGTAAGAGTAACTAACAGTGAACGTTACTCTACACATATGTCGCCTTATTGTTCTAACTAGACATCCAATTTGGAGCCTCCATATATGGAAAGTTTTAGGAACATAGGAAAAAAAACTGGAATTCCAAAAAACGGAATAAATATGGATGTGCGAGAGCCTCAGAAGTAATAATTGAAACAAAAGCATGTAGAGTAATTCATAACTAAAGTTTTTTTTATAACCAAGATTTAACTATTGAGGATATGTATGAGACAATACACAGATGTGCAGTTCACAGGTTCATCATTTGAGAGAAAAAAAAAGGTTTGGGCTGGAGATGAATAAATGGGGCATATAAATATGTGACTTAGATTATACGCGTGCTCCAAATTTTTCAACAAACTTTAAATACTACTATTAAAATTGCATATAGTGCAAAGATAAGTGATCTAGACTATATATTGCATATATAAATGAGATATTGTAATCTTCAAAAGAGATTTCTTTCTTAAAATTACTAACTTAACATGCAGTCTCACACGGTTGTGATCCACAACGTACAAAATTTTATATTTAGAGCATCTGCAATAGTTTCTAAAAAATAACTTGGTAAATGAGTTTTCCATGTGACTAAAAAAAGTTGGGAGAATATTTGTTGGCTTCTTCCAACAGTTTCTAAAATCTCACTCTTAAAAGATAGAAGATTTTACATTAGGAATAATCCCGGACTATTTAATTTCTAAATCACCCTAACCATTTCTTATTCTTTCCCACATCCTTCCACCTTAGATTGACACGATGGATACACACGGTGTATTTATCCGCGCGCCGGGGTCGATTTTGTAAGTGCCAAAAGATTATGAGGTAGTTGGGAGTTGTTGGAAATATTTTTTTTTGATCTTATAAAAAATCATGGATTAAGACTTCATTTTGGGGACTTTTGGAGATGCTCTTAAACGGAACAAGTAGAAATGATCTTTTATTTACCTTCGAGGTTGGTAATTCATTGGGGTAGTGCTGGCACTACTGGATTCAGGTTCTTTGTCGAGTGCCTGAGGCACTCGGCAAAGGCTATATTGCACTCGGCAAAGCCTTTGCCGAGTGCGGCACTCGGCAAAGCACACACGGCAAAAAATTGATCGGCAAAACACTCTTTGCCGAGTGTCTTTTATCGGGCACTCGGCAAAGAAAAGCAACCGTCACGGCGCTGGTCCCGTTGACGGTCACTTTGCCGAGTGTCAACCCTGCAGGCACTCGGCAAAGATTTTTTTAATTTTTTTTTTAAATTTCTTTGCCGAGTGCCAACCCGTGAGGCGCTCGGCAAATTTTTTTTTAAAAAAAAATTATTTGCCGAGTGCCAAACCGTGAGGCACTCGGCAAAGAGCTTTTTTATTTTTTTTTGAAAATTTTCTTTGCCGAGTGCCAACCCGCCGGGCACTCGGCAAAGAGTTTTTATTTTTTTTAAAAAAAATTCTTTGCCGAGCGCCAACCCGGAAGGCACTCGGCAAAGAGCTTTTATTTTTTTTTTGAAAATTTTCTTTGCCGAGTGCCAACCGCCAGGCACTCGGCAAAGTTTAAATTTTTTTTTAATTTCTTTGCCGAGTGTTATAGTCACAGCACTCGGCAAAGCTGGAAAATCTGTTTTTTCTGATCGCACATTTTGCCAGCTTTGCCGAGTGTTGTGACCATTGCGCTCGGCAAAGGGGTCCTTTGCCGAGTGCAACACTTGGCAAAGTGACCCAAAACGGCAAATTTTTTTTTTACATTCCATCGTGACAAATACATTCATACAAACATATATCACATATATATCTCATCCATCACATATATATCTCATCCATCCCATATATATCTCATCCATCACATATATATCTCATCCATCCACACATCCATCCGCCCATATCACATCCATCACAATATATAATAATAAGTGCTCAAGTCTATCCAAATAAGTACACAAGTCCATCAAAGTCCACAAGTGCATCATAAGTATATCACAAGTCCATCACCAAGTGAACAACAAATGTAAAAAATACAACATGCACTCATCTCGGCCACTGTGACTGTGGTGAAGGCCCAGATGCATCATTCGTAGGTGCATGAGGTGGATTATTCGAACCACCGTCAGATGGAGACTGCACAAAGGAGAAAAGATTGCATGTGAGACAAGATTATTTTGATAGCTAATCTAGGACGATAGAGGCCATACAAGCAAAGCACAAGCGAAAGTAAAAAACTTTGATACTCACAGGAGTAGCTGCAGCTGCAGAACACGGAGGCGGAGGTGGAACCAACAGCCCAGGTGGTAGAGACAAGCCCATACATTGCCCAAGCCCTTGTAGGAAATGCGTAATGTCCATCAGCCTCTGCGCCTGAGCCTACCGCTCGGCCCGCTCGGCCTCCAGCTGGGCCCCCAGCTCCTAACGTTCCTTCATTTCTTGTTTCAGCCGGGCCTGCAATATTTCACTCCAATGTTTCAGTAATGCAAAGCTAATTAAGGTGTGTAAAGATCAATGTATGATGAGTAAAACAGGAATAACCTCGAGTGCGTCGACCCGGTGCTGTGCAGCGGTCGGCCGTGTGCGAATGGCCGGACTCTCGCTCGTGCTCCGTGCTCGGATCGAGGAGAGAGAGGGAGTAGAGGCCGTGTCGATGACGCCGTCGCCAAGCCAGAACCGCCCATGCTTCTTGCTTTGCCCCGCCCTCATGACAGCCTCTCCATCGAAGTCCTGGGTGCTCGGATCGTGGTCTACCCCATGGAGCGACCTCGCCACCTTAGTGTACTCACTGATGCGGGAGTGGACGCTCGGGTTCGTGTATGCCTCGGGCGGGTCCTCTAGGTTGAAGGAGACGTCGGACGTCGCCTTGCCCTTGTGGGCCATACACCATGCCTGGAAGTTTGAGCAAGCCTGGCCACTATGTGACGCCGACTACGAGAAAGACAGCACGATGATTAGAAATCAGACAGAACTGAGCGTGACAATATATAAATCAATTCGCGTACCCATGCTTGTTTGTATCCGGCGAGGTTGCAGCTGCCTTGATGGTGTGCTGGACCTTGCATCAGCAAACGACGGTCTCGGGCATCCCTGTGCATCTTGAGGTACTCCTCCGTGAACCACCTGTCCACCATCATCGTCCAGCACTCGGGATACGCTTGGCACCACCAGTGAATCACCTACACGTCATCAAGTATTGCACATATAAGAAGATCAAATTAAACCAACTTAATCTCAAAACGAATCAATATTGATGTTCTTCATTTATCTCAAGGTATTGCTCCCCCGGGTCAGCTGCATCTCTCTTGCATCTTTCTTGGTTTTCCTCTCTCCAAGCTTCGACCCGTAGTAGGTTACGATGGCCTGGACGCGCGCCTCGTGATGCATGTCGGTGACGAGTTTTTTATAGGCTTTGGTAGTCGCCTGCTCCGCCCTGCCCTCAAATCCCTCCTCACATCTGTAATAAGTCTGCATACAAAAGTGATGTATCCATTCATTATTTAAAGAAAAGTCCAATGAATGCGATGTATTGAGAAATGTTGTGCA